AGAAACAATAGTATATGTATGTTTTCGCGGTGATATTTTCCATTGTGAAATCTACACCGCGATTTCTATTGTACCGCGATTGGCAAATGAAAACCATATGATCGGTTCTATTCACTCCGACAATAGTATGATCGTTCTTTTGACATTTTGCGTATGAAAATATAAAAATTTCGAGAATAATAAAACAGTCTGATGATTTTGCAAACATCGAGATTCTTATCAAACTTAAATCTTACGTATAAAAAGATATTATGTATATTAAAATTAACTCCATTATTTTCTACAAAATTTTGCATCTACGCAACTAGGAAAAATTACAGAATTACAATGTTTTCGCCTACGATAGTCAAGTCTTTAATTTTGGATCGATCGGTTCGAGAGACGTCGTTTCTCGCGCATGGAAAATTTCCAAAAATTATGCACGTTGCACGTAGAGGCGATTATGGCGGATTTACGTTTCCTCCAGCGTCGGAACTTTCGTAACCAAAACCAAACGACCCATTTCCTCGGTGCACTCGTCTTAAGTGAGCGTTTCTAAATTGAGAGACGAAGCTCGGGCGCGATTGGTGCCAACGCGGATAAACATGGGAGGCGCGCGCGCACGCGTGCCAAATTTCAGCCAAAAGATGGTCTGGAAAAGCGTACGGACAAACAACGCGGGATAGCTAATTCCGCGATAAACGCGTTTGGAGTAACGCCAAGCAGTTTTACGGCTTGGACGTTATCGCGCGGCGCTTTCAAAAAGAAAAACTACTGTTTATGAATGGCCCGACTCGTTACCGCTGTTAAATCGTAAACAGAAACGGCATTTAAAATTTTGTACGAATCCCTGTCAATGCAATTCTGGACTGCATTAAAAACTCTACAGAGAACAATTATAGCTTATCGATAACTTCCCAAAAGGTCAGACCATCACTGGACACTGCTATTTTAATCTTTCTATCTGAATTCAAACTTTCATCCGTTTCTAAAATTAAAAAAATTTCCCAGTGGTCGACGATTTTCGCCACACAGTAAACAGCTACTTGGAAGAACCTCGAGAAACGGATTTCCGAAGTGGCGTAAAAACTTCGGAGCATCGTTGGACGAAACGTATTAGAGACTTTACCGATCTCGATGGTTCGAAGACAGTTCTCGAAATTACACGGTTCTCAAACGAAGATCTCGCTGGAAAAGCAGCGATATTTTCCGGAGCTTCCTGTTTCAGTTTCGACGGGACGCTAACTCCCGTAAGATGAAACGTCTACTCGACTCGACTCGTAGTTCGGCCTCGTCGCTGCCAGAGTAATCGAGTTTCCCTTCCAGAAAATTATAAAGTTGTGACAGTAGGTCGTTAAAAGGTTGGAAATTCCATTACCGGACTCTATTCGTCTTGTTTACTGGGTATACACGGCGTCGAAAATTGCGCGTAACGCGTTCTAAATCGAAATTTCCCTTGATCCGCGACGCGACGAAAGTATGCACTTTGTCATCCCGGAATCCGACCGTGGGCGAATATCCCACAAATATCTGGAGACTATTAGGGAACCACCGATATTGGAATTTAGCCATCCCGCTATTAAATTAATGGTGGCCCATAAGTGCTCCCTCAGGGGACGCGAAGATCTTCGAACATCGTTAGACCGTCTGGATTATGAACGAACTCGACTGCTTTTCTGGGGAAATTATCGACCAGATCGTCGCCCAGGGTATCGCGACATCTAATTCGGAATTAATTTGCGATATCGAACGGTAACGCTGGGACTAATTAAATATATAATTGTAAATTCGATAGAATTTCAGGCGGATAAATTCCTCGTTGAATCTTTCTCGATTAAGTTTTTTAAATAGCTTTTGATCTCTGATTCAGAGTTTTCCAAAGAATGAATGTAACACAACTGGAGATGAAGCGTACTTTCTACTCTGTGACAGTTTCAATTATTGTCTGCGCAAGAACGGTATTCGGATTTGCTCGCCGAGTAAAAGAGGAACGAGCAAGACCGCAGAAGGATTTGTGGCCAGTGGTGGTGACAGCTTTCAAGCCACTCATTACTGTATTAAACAATTTATTCTACCCCGTGGCACCATCGCCCTTCGACAACTGCAAAATGTTTATTTAAATCCAGAGAAAGTGTTTGAATAAACAGAAATTAATTCCATCTGTAACGTAACAATTAGAAACGTTCAAAACTTTCGCTTTGGAAAGCTTCATTGTTTATCATTCTAACCTGGTTTCGACGAACAACAACGTTTATCACGCTCGCGAAGAAACCTATTCCATTGTCGCGATAAATTACGAATGCAAAAGGCCTGGACGACCGCCAAAAACAATTGTGTTCGGGATAATTGCAAACACTGGTGTCGAGATTTTTTACACGGTTTTTTACGGACGCCTGAACAAACGGTTTACAAATTCGACAGAAACCGGGCCTCTACAGAGACAGTATCGTTTAACAAAAACAAATTGATTTTATAAAGTGTTGCTTAAATTCTCGTACAATAATTAATAGGGGAAAAGTTAATCTCGACTCGCTTACTCTATCCCGTGTTTCGCTACGGATAACCGAGAAAATTCAGTAAAAACGATAGAGGGAATAAATTCAGTTATTCAGGGAAGATAACGTTTGCCAGAGAATTGTTCGACGTTGGATAAAAAATGCATAGCCGTTGCTGAAAATCGAGCCGGCAGAAAAGTGCGAAAAATCACGCGAAATCTGTCCCGTTGAAATACTAAGCGTTTCGACGATACGGCGTGCACGTTGATCGGAATTTACACAATTCCGACGTAATCCGAGCCAATATAATGGAACCTCCAAAGCCAGTCAATTCGATAACGAACAATCTCGTTAAGATCGGAAACAACTAAATCAAACATCCATAATTGCGGCGGCGCGCCTAATTTTCGCTGTTTCCCTACTAACAGAATAATCGGTTACGGCAATAACACGACTAATGACGTACTCGATAACTGATTTTATTTAACAATGTTCCATACGCGACAGGAATTACACGCCTGTCGACATATCGGATCCGTTAATGTCGAATTTTCGACCCCATTTCTGCCATGGCCACGAAAATCTCTACATATCGATGTGTAACGCGACAATATTTGGCCTGCGTATGGCCTAATGACATGCTGGAAACCACTGTCTATAAATCGCAATCAACGTTTGTAACCGTGAAAATGATTAAACATACGAAATAAAATATTTTAATTTTGCATTAATAGAAAGATTTTTGTCACGATATATCTATATATCTTATACTAAATGTTCCTTGCGCAAACAGACGCATCAAAGGCTCTTTCTCGCTTACCGGATGAATTAAATTAAATTAAAATTTTCCAACTTGATTATCACAGCTCTTTACAGTGCACGCGTCCAGAGATATTTCCCATTTAGTATCTTACGATTATAAGATAACATTAAATTCCGCTTCGAAGAGATCCCCGTGTTTCTGTCCGACTATTTTTGAACATATAACGCAACATCTTTTATACCTCTCCGCGTTAATCCCACCAGTATACAAACAGAGAATTTTATCTCGAGTAACAACGCGCTTACGAAATTCTACCCTCGCGTTGAAGTTTCCTTCTCAGTCGCGTCGGCGAATCAAAATTTACACGCATTGCAAATTTTGTTTTAATTTAATTTCTCTACAAATTATACGATACATATGGGGTAAAATCAAGAATATCAATTTTCCATAGATCCCAGGTAAAACACTCTCCACAAACCCCCTCTAATGTCTCTCCTTTTAAACGTCGAAATTACGAAACAATGAAAACGTAGGTGCAGTCATTTTTCGGTGAAATTAAAAAATTTCAAATCGTTCTGAAAAAATTACTTATAGTTGCAGGGATCAGTTGCAATCATTTTTGGTGGATACACCTACTCCCGAAATCCTACGCAATTTCGAAATAAAAATTCTTTACTAATACGTCTGACCAATGTCTGACCAACTTCACTGAAATTTTTCCACGAATAAAAATAGTTTCAAATCGTTCTAAAAAAATTATTTCCGGTTGTGGGGGTCAACTACAATCATTTTTGGTGAATACACATACCCCCGAAATCCTAACCATTTTCAAGAAAAAAATTCAGTAGGCGTCTAAATGTTACGGCGAAAAAAATTTCAAATCATTCTGGAAAAATTATTTTCGGTTACGAGGGTCAATTACAATCATTTTTGGTGAATACACCTATCACCAAAATCCTACGTAATTTCGAAATAAAAATTCTTTACTAATACGTCTGACCAATGTCTGACCAACTCCACTGAAATTTTTTCGCGAATAAAAATAATTTCAAATCGTTCTAAAAAAATTATTTTCGGTTGTGGGGGTTAACTACAATCATTTTTGGTAAATAGACATACCCCCGAAATCCTAACCATTTTCAAGAAAAAAATTCAGTAAGTGTCTAAATGTTTCGGCGAAAAAAAAATTTCAAATCGTTCTGGAATAATTATTTTCGGTTACGGGGTTCAATTACAATCATTTTTGGTGAACAGCCACACCCCCGAAATCTTGCGCATTTTCGAGAAAAAAATTCAGTACGGGCGGAAGTTTAAACGTTAATAACTTTTTAACGAAGCCTCCATCAACAAATTGGTATTCTTGATTTTCGTCTTATTTTGGCCTCTAGAATCCCCCATTAAAAATCTCCAAATACAAGTAGCCTGTTTTGTAGTCGGTGTTCGCAACAACGACTAATTTATGCGAAAACCCAAAAGTGCACTAATTTATAAAAACGAAAATTAATTCAAGTTTGTATTAAGATCAGATAGGAAGCAGGAACGTACGGTGTACCGCGGTGTTTGAATATTAATCGCTGTGGCTGTTTCACAAACACTCGTTACCAGACGTTAGCGGAATCTGACGCAACGGGGAGCCCAGAAACGGAAGTGGATTCTCGCGCGATGAACGCAAACGAGATCCAAGCAAGGTTCGCGAAATTACACGACCGCAGTCTTTCGGGCGGCTACGCGTGCACGTATGTATGTAAGTCGTGAAAACTCACCGAGTTTATGTAGTTGATGAGAGACAGTCCGCCGTCCCATGGGTGCTCCTGCTCGCACGAGATATTAGCGGGCCTTAACGCGTGCGACTGTTCCAGGGTCCTTAATCCCACGGCAAACACTTGCACGCTGTCGTATATCAGGGCTGGCTCCGCCTGAAAAAGGTGTGCTCTCCTCAGTGCTGTTCGCGCTTTGGGACATTAAATATTTGCGCACTTTTTCCGGACGGCCGTCCGGAGGTCTGCCATAAATTACGAGAGAAAATCACTTCCCACGCGGGAATGTGTTCCGAAAAATTTACTAGGAGACCTTACGATCGGCATAAAACGGACAATTTGTGGGTTCGCGACTTCCTTATCACTCCTACTATTTCCATCCAATCCAGATGAAATGTTAAAAAGATAAAAAAGGCATCGTTTGTACTTCGAAATCCTATTTTAAAGAAAGATAATTTTAATAATTCGAACAAGACACGAGGTATCTGAGTACCTCGTATTTTAAAAAATTGTATTCTTTTTAAATTGCTTATTCTCTGCGTTTAAGAACATACAGCTCGATTTGTATCGTGTAATTTTTTAAAAATTCCACCGTTTCACAGCGGGGAAATAGATTGGCAGGCAGTGGCGTAAAAGTCGGGGGGGCGGTTATCGAGGGGAAAATTCAATATTCAGAGAAAAAGAAGGCGTGCATTCCAGCCGGTCGAGTGTGGGATTAATTTCGCGTCATTTTCCGCGTCGCGTGAGAGCTTTGCAAGCGCAGCTGAGCGTCTTGCACCGTTATGGAAATAATCTAAGCTCCGTCAGCTTCCAGTTTCGCTCGGAAGGGTTGTGGAAGCGGAACGGCCGATATCGCGTCGGACAGAACCGAAAATGCGAATCGCATTCCTTCGTTTACCAAAGCGCCAAAGTGGATGCACCTTTCTGTAAGAGCCAGTTGTTCCAGGCTAACTGTTCAATTTGATATTCTTGGATAATAAGCAATATTATAAATTACTAGGTAATTAAATTGAATTAAAATTAGATTTGTAGAATCGCGTCACTGTTCAGTTTGCAAGAATAAATGAAATATTTGAGCTGCGATCGAAACTGTGCATTTCAAACAATAATACTTTTCATCGGGCAATTAATTGAACAGTATGTTGTGGTTGATTTTAAAGTATCGTGTTATTGTTTCGGCAAATGATGATCCAATTATACGTAATATTTGAAGCGTTGCGTATTCCCAATACACCGACACGTTCGAGCATTTAATCAGACTAAAATTTATCGGGTCTCTGTGCTCTATTTTTCCGTTCCAGCCACAATTTTTCGTAATTTCCACCGATGACAATACCAGCGGGTTAATGAAGCCCGTTCGTAACCCGATTCAACTCCCGTACGAGGCAACAAATTATCCGCTGACAAACGAATTTCGACCAATAAACCGGCCGCCGTTAACCTCTCAACGCGCTCGACGCGATTCTCTTTTGAAAAAGAATTCTCGAATCGTACAAAACGATCAATTTTCTATTAAGAGAATATCAAATTACGTTCCTTAACTCGTTGACTGCCAGACTAAACCCCTCAAATTGTCTACGAAAACGATACTCTTTTTTTTGGACATTTGGAAACTAGCATATCGACAATTTGTCCTAGAATTTATTTTTACAGCTTCTTTAAAATTTAAGTATTATATCAAGATTTATTTTCTTTAAGATTTAATCTTAATTTTTTCAGCTCATCAGTGTAAATTCATGTCACCCATATATGGGTGACGTGGCAGTCAATGTGTTAAAAGAGTATTACTTTTCGAGCGAAATAAATAGCATTTCGAGCGTTTGGTGAATTGGATTTTCATTGCTACAATAAAGAAATACACGCAAGACAGTTAAATTTCGAAATAAAAAGTGTCGTGGACCGCAAAGCGTCGAAGTTCGACGCGACTCTGTGTACATTATGGATCACCATTTTGCAGGAGACGTCCAAACGGTAAATCCCCCCGGTAATCCCCCGAATAAACCATTTTCCGGCCAGTGTCGAATTTTCCTAACCACGGTTCATCCTCCTCCAGCCACCACGGCGGTTTCTCGGTCTTGATTCCGCATGCAGACGTTCACGGACCACGTGTTTGTCCCGAACAAACACTCGAACGGGAATCTACGAAACGAGACACGCGCGTTCAGCCGCGGGCTTTGCCCGAATCCACCCGAAATACCGGAGCTTTCGTCGAAAGCCAAGACGCGCGTGCAGCCTGTCAAATCTCTTAATCGTCTTCGAGAGAGACGTTCGACCGCGCCGGGAGAAGCATTCTACTCGGAGCGTGGCTCATTATCGTCTCCGTGTCCGGGAAACTTCGCGATAATTAACGTCGTCGAACGAATTGCGAGCCCGAGCACTTCGAGGCGACGCCATCGAGATCGGGGAACCGTGAATTTCGCGTTTTAGAACGACGACTCTACGCGATTATGACGCTAATGGGACGTTATTAATAAAAATCGAGCGCCTCAGGTGGAATTTTAACGATACCTGCTCGTCTTCTTGAGATTCTGGTCGAATTTCAAAAACTTGAAATTAGAAATTAGCTGCTTTTCCTTTGCCAGAAGACACAAGTTTCATCGTTTATAATTTTATATTTTTTCTGTAATCATTAATTCTGACAATATCAAAGAATAGTAATTTTTTAAATTAAATACGAAATAAAAATGATTCTTCGCTGAAAAGAATATTAAATGTGTGATAAAGTTATTGTATACTAATCTTTGTATCAGGGAAAACTGATTTTAGGAAGGTTTAGGACGCCAGAGTGTAACTTGAATAACGCGTCTGAACATCGCTAGGGTTTTCTACTTGCACCGGTGTTTTTCAATACTGACGAACATCGATGCCGATTTTTCAATAACACGGTACAAAGTTCGCTGTAAAATGGTCATAAAATCGCTATCAAACTCAGTGGTGCACAGTGTGTGTAGACTCGAGCACGATGTTCTCAAACATCAAGTGGAAATAACGAATAACGGGGCAGACGCATTGGAGACAATTTCTTCTCCGCGAGTAATTAAAATTTTTTCGAAAACGAAGCTTCGTATATAGATTATTTTATTTTCCGTTTTCCCTGTATTTTTGTGCGGAAAAATCCTCCGTTCGTTTTCACTTTTTTCCAATGCACGCGTATTTCAATGTACGTTTTTAAGCTTCCTCTAAAACCGTACACAGTAACATTGCGACTGCGTCAACCGGCTTTAATGGTATTAACTTATCAGCTGCTATGAAACATTTACAAGGGGATTCCGACTCTGTATCGACGAAGATTTTGTCGATATTTATTTGGAAATGATTACATTAGAGAATTGAGTAATGTGATGTTTAATTGGAAAGCTCTGTCGTTGGTATCTTTCTTTCAAGAACGAGTCGCGTTCAAAAGTATTGCCTTTGTTGTAGGAAAAATAAACGCGGACCGATTGCCGTCCAATCAGGTTATTTATCAACGAGGCTTTATCGTTAATAAGCGGAGCGACCGATCGGACAAATGAATGAGGCTCCTCGACCCGTTGCCCTTTGTTCCGGATAGAATCGAGAGCAATGACGCGGAATAGCGCGGTGAACGGCCCGGCGGGAATTATTCGACGCCGGTGGCCGGCGTTTTCTACGAGGCTGCCAGGAAATTCGATGGAAACGCGCGACACAAAAGCCCGGGCGTCGAAAAGTTGTTATCGTCGAAAATAATCAACGCTAACAGCATTCCGCCGTGCCGCGCTGCGCCCAACTCGCGTTATCGCACGGTTTCACGAGCGAAAATAATGCATCGGTATTATTTCCTCGCGTTTAGTGGACGCTTGCTTGACGAGCCAAGACGGGCCGGGAAAATTACCAGCCACGGTCGGAGAAAATCGTCGGTTAACGTAATAGAATGAACTTTCCAAGGAACGAGCCGCCGCTATGAAACTCACCAGTTTCGTAGTTCATCGACCGACGGGATGCACAATAGAAACTATTCCTCGAAAGGTGGTCAACATTGAAATAACGTAATCAAGCCCCTCTAAACGAACGTAATTAGCGGAAGCAACTTTAAAGTTAAATTAAATGTCGTAAACAGTGATATATAATACGTCAGTTTAAACTTTCGAGCGTTATTTCTATGCCAGCAACGAATTCCAAAGATAATTAAATATCCAATAAAAGTGCATGCGTTTCCACGAATAAATCGAACGCAGAGGGAACGATAAAAATTTATAAGGGAAGTCTTTTGATGTCGACATAAAACCGGTTTAAAAGAGTAAGTGAAGAATGGTTGATATGAAAGAATGAAGATTCTGAAACGCGAAAGTCGCCTTTGCACACAATGGAAAGTAGAAAATGGTATTAAAAGTATTGGATTGGTCACCAGAATCAGATCGAAAATGTTTGGTGCTCCACGAAGCCAGAGCTTCGAGGGAAACGTGTGTGGAATACGAAACAGCTCGACAGATACGGTTAATATGGAAAACTTTGCCTCGAGAATGCTCCGGTCAAGTTAGTCCAAGGCAATTTTGAAAGACAATGGAGATTGGACGAATTAATAAAAATTTATAAAAATAATTTTTTCGAAGGTTATAAAGCAAGGTAGTGAATTAGTAATTTACAAGCATCGTAAGTTTTAATATTATGCTCTTATAGGAGCTACGTGTAAAGGAACTTAGAGGAACACGCGTGTCTGTTCGTGCTAGAGTGAATTGCCCGACAGCATTATCCTGCAAAATCAGTTAAGAATTAACAGCGAGCAGGGAAATGGGCGAAAATTAGACTGCCGTGCACTATCGCGCGTGTCGAGAAAATTAGAGTACGTTATTCTAAACGTAATGGACACTCGATCTAAATTCTTTACTACTTCCGAATTTTCAACCGAGATTCATATTTGAAATTACGGAATTTCGCGTTCCTGCACTTAATTTATAATTAATATTCTATTAGCCTATACTGCACTCGTGAAAGGAGTCGAAATCTTTGGCTAATAAATCGCAAGTAGACGCTCACGATAAATAATGAATAATTCTTTCGTGCAAATTTTATCGTATAATTGTTTTGGATAAATCGTCTAAAATAATGTGAATAATTTTCAACTTCGTCGATGGAACGGGGAGTCGAAATTCAATTATTATTTACGGGGTTCGAGCAAACTGCGGGAAAATATTGGCGTAGCA